GCAACCGAAAATTGTGAAAATCTGCCCAGATTTTCAGATTTTTTGGGCAAGTTTGAGGCAATATTTCGGCAACTTCCGACCACCAAAACCTTCGATTTCGAATACCTTTGGAAAGCCCACAATGTCCTCTTCAATTATCACCAAAAATATCCCCATAATTCCAAGGTATTCGGCTGGAATAAACCCACGAAGTCAGCTACCAAAAAAGTTCGAAAATCTGCCCAGTTTGGATAGCTGACTTCGTGGGTTTATTCCGGCCGAATAGCCTGGAATTATGGGGAGATTTTTGGTGATAATTGAAAAGGACATTGTGGGCTTTCCAACGGTATCCGAAATCGAAGGTTTTGGTGGTCGGAAGTTGCCGAAATATTGCCTCAAACTTGCCCAAAAAATCTGAAAATCTGGGCAGATTTTCACAATTTCCGGTTGCCGACTTCGTGGGTTTATTCCGGCAGAATCACTTGGAGTTTTGGGGAGATTTTTTGTGGTAATTGAAGAGGACATCGTGGGCTTTCCAACGGTATCCGAAATCGGCTGTTGTGGTGGTCGGAAGTTGTCGAAAAAATGCCTCAAACTTGCCCAAAATATCTGAAAATTCAGTGACCGTCTGTGAAAGAAATTTCAAACTTCAGTGACCGGTGCTGAAACTTTGAAACTTCAGTGACCGTTTTGAAATTTTCAGGTAATTTCAGTGACCATTTGTGAAATTAACCCTATTACATAATGTGCATACATATCATTATATACATTTAGTTGCTTAGAATAGCCGGTAAAGATTGAATCCTCTTTTCCTTTCATCTCGGGGCAATTTGCATTAATGAGATTATTTGCCTTTCAAAGAAAAAAAAAAGGAGTTTTAATTTCCAGTGATGCTTTTAAAATAATATAAACGACAACATAAAATTCGGATAATCCAGTGCTTATAGCGAATAAAAATATTCTATAAACCCTCAAAAAAAAATTCTAAAAGAATTAAGAAAATGTAACTGCAATGTTCCAGGTCTTCATCGATTAGAAAATGGTCACATTGCTTTTCATAATAAAATATTGCAATTGCATGCCTATGCTCTTTAATCCTCGACAAAATAACATGAATTTAGATCCTTGTAATGGTGTAAACATATTTTTCTATTGTAATTCTATTTGAAGATAAATTATTATTATGATTAAATTTTGAGCTAATATAGAATACTATTTGTTTAGATCAATTAAAATTGATCTCTACGTTTAAAAACGAAACTAGAACGAACACCTCGAAAGGAAATAATCTATAGGGACATTGAATCGAACTAGGTAATCTTCAAATATAACATCATACTATCATTTTATAGTGAGGTATGAAACGATTTCTATTTAAAAAATTGGATAGTTACATTTCCGTTTGGTACAAAGTGTTGTGCTATTTATGTACACCAAAAATCTTACCTAGATTTCTCCAGACTAGTCTGGATAAATGCTCAGGGCATCCAATTCCACGATGATGTATATTGCAAAAATAGTTCCGTGACTAACAGTTCTCTGTTTCTAACTAGAGCTTGCTAAACATGAAACCGGTATTAACTTTAACCCCGGATTGGCCAAAAGTGGATTTATGCCTTTGATGGAAATGTGGCAAATGAAAGCAAGAATTTTCACATCTAGTAGGAAGGAGACCAAGTGTTACAAGAATCTGTCACGTGCTTCAATCATAGAGACTTTCTCCTGCAAAATAACGAAAGTTTTTAAGGAATAATAAAAAATCCTTGTTTCTTCTATCTTTAATATGTACATGCTTGAGTATTCTACTTATTTGAAACTACATTGAAATATTCGGAGAACTAGACTACCTCCCTGATCTAAAAAGAGAAGGGGGGAAAAACACACAATGTACCAAGGTTTTCGGTTTTCTGGTAGTTTCTGTTACGTTCCTCTTGTTTCCGTTGAAGAAAAAGCATAGAAAAGTGGACTTTGGCATTTAACAGCAAAACAAAGAAACTGGGAAATCAAAGTTTAACAACTTCTTAACAGCATCCACATGACAAAAGTTCAGGATAGATAAAAGAAATTCTGTTTTCAAGTTTGCAGCCCGTCATTGAGAAATACTCTCTCAAATCCAGCAGCCTGCACAAGTCTGCACCTCCTTGGAGTAAAAGCAAACTTTGCAGCACTAGTTTATTTAATTAAAAGTTGCATCTTTCATTGGGCAGAACTTAAATGCATGTTTGGTGCTCAGTATTGGACATGACTGATAGTGTAATAAACAAGTTCTAGTTTCTTATTAGTAGTGTCTAGTGCTACTCAATCCTCCCTACTAAACATGTTATAAGTGTGTTGGCCAAATCATTTCGTGTATTCTTTATGTAGTCCCGTGCGTGCATATGTGTGAGTGTACTATTCCAATGACATATCACCTCATTATTAGTGCCATTCTCCGATGGAAACCAATGCATAAGAACTCCCAGGTGCATCAGAGCTGGTATCAATTTAAATACAACAGGAGTAGTCACCTGTGTATCATCATTAAAATTATTAAATTAATAAATGTAGGCATGGGGAGTTTCTTTGGCAATCAGAGGATAAAAGAAACTCACAAGACTCAGAGCTGTTGTTCCAAGAAGAAGAAGATACATCTTCCCCTGCACTTTTGACACAATGTTAGTAGGAAGAAAAAAAAAGGTTTCTAAAAGGTAGTACAGTAAGGGAAAACAAATTTAAGCCAATTGAGCAGCAGCTGGTAATGCATAGAAAACGAGCAATTAGAAAACAGAATCTTTACTAAAGAAAAACAATCATGCATAGAGGCACCAGAAAATTGCATTCAGTTCAAATGGATCCTTACTTTTCTCTCAATCATTAAGAGCATCGAACAATTTCCTTTCCATTTAACTCCCAGTCCCACTGACTGGTAGATTTACAATCCGTTTTAATTTCTTCGAATTGTATTACTTTTTTACTAAAACTGCATCATGATGCACATCCTCTTTACTTATTATTATTGTTATTATTATTATTATTATTATTATTATTATTATTATTACCTTTGATAAATTGGTTATGAATTGAGAATTGGACAAACTTAACCTAACCTTTACAGCAAGCATCAAGTTTAGATATTAGCTAATGTTACTATATCCGACCCAACATTCATCGAAATTGGGTAAATGAGCTCTGGATTGTGTATATGGTTTAGGTACCGCATGCAATTAAATTGTTTCGGCTACAAAATTTGAAAATAAACAGAAAGATTAAGCAGTTATGGAGTGGACAAGTATATTTATTTAAACTGTCTTCATCACACCGACAAAACCCATCCGGTGCAAGTCAAATTCATTTTTTCATCAAAGATGAAAGTCATGACAGGCGCAATTTTCTTAAATAAGTGATGGCAAGACTTGTAAATTAGACATTTGTCTATTTTAATATCAGTTGACAACTTTATTTGTTTAATTTATCTACTTCAACATATATTTAAAAAAATTTCAGAAGCCGATCAATGAAGACCATCACTTGCAAACTACGAACTAAACATAACCTTAATCAAATAATATCATGTACAGTGTGAGATACCAAGATTTGGCTATGTTCATGAACATGAAAATATTGTCTGACTGAAAATGTTTCTCATTAGGTAGTGTAATAATTTTTGTGCATTGGAAGAAAGGGCTAAATTAGAGCAAAGTGTATATTTTAGGATCAGGAAAAATTACCTCAACAAGATGTAAATTTGAGGCACGACTTAAGAGAACAAATGCAAATTCACCAATTTGTGCCAGTAACACTCCAACCTGTCAAATTTGGAGACTTGTAAATCATAATCATCTACATTTTTTTAGTAATAAAAATATTTAAGAAACAGACTTACAATAACTGATGTCCTAAGATTGTAACCAAAGGTCTTTGTGATCGTAGCAGCAACTGCTGTCTTAACAACTATAACCAGAATAACAGAGGCAAGCAATATATCCACATGCGTCCAGAGGAACTGTACGTGTATAAGCATTCCAATACTAGAAAGGAAGAGAGCAGCAAAGAGGTTACGAACTGGTTCCACCTACAAGATGCAATGTATTTGAGAACTGATCACTTCACCATAAACTATGTGACATTTATAGGGCAGTGAAAAGGCTAGAATATGCAGAGTAAGTGCTTCCTTTTTTTTTCTTTCTTTTTTATGTCCACAGAAACGGTTAGTCAAACTATCACATGCCCGTGTCTGGTAAGATTTGGAGTTTCAATGCCAAATAAGGTAAAGAGGAAACACAGCTGTTTTACAGCAAACGTTGAGGCTTCCACCTTTATACAACTGGATGTCAAGCACCCGCATATTTAGCTTTACGGAAATGTTCAAATCTGTCAACTTCGTTTGTTGAATGAAATAACATAAGAGCTAAGACTCTCTTATCATTAGTTTTTTTTTCATTTTCATCAATTTCACATGATTATCCCAGTTTGTCCACCAACTAGTGTAAAAGAACAGCAGGAGCAATGAAATGCATACAATATCCAAGCATTTATTTGAATGCTAAGTGGTGGCACTAGTTTATGACAAAAGAAGCCTCCAAGGCTATAGACAAAGAATTCAGCATATTGACCTGTTCATCAAAGTCTTGAGTGGTTGCATGAACTTCTAAAGAACATGAACAGAGTTTTTTTTCCCGAGAACTCCATTTATCTCTGTATAAATTATTCAAGAAAAAAAGGTAGATTCAAGAACATACCTGATCTAAGGTATGCTGTGCAAAGTCAGTGGTGGATATCATAACTCCAGCAACAAACGAACCCAACTCAAGACTAAGTCCCAGTTTATCACTGCACTGAAATTAAAAGCAGACGAGTACTGAGAAACACCGGTTTTTCATGTAGAAAGCAATGTACAAATTTCTAGACAAGTTAATGACAGGAGAAAAGAAAAAAGGCCAAATGCTCACAAACCATATGCTTCACTTAATGAAGTTCTCAAGGAATTTTGAATATGATGTGCATAATTAATCAATACAGATTAAAATTCAGAAGCCAGTAATTCAAAATTCTTTGCATTCAAGAGCATCGTCTGTTCCAATTCAGCGAAAGGACGTTAATATATTGACATGTAAAGTAACTCGGAGAACCATGGCTATACTTTGCTCTATAAGTGCCATAACATTGCAAAAAAGTCAAAGCAATTCGTCTAAGCATTTATTGAAATTTTTATGAGAACACCATCTCTTGAACCAATGGTGCTAACTTCATTCGAAAAAACAACCTTCATACTTTCATTGTTATTGGAGTCCCATATTAAGGAATGCAAAAATTCTTCATATGATCTAGTTTTTTCTTTAGAAACTGATTCACCTGTTTAAATCTGCATATTTTCAGAAAGCAAATGCAATCTCAGCTCTGCAACTTTATTCTCATTATATTGAATCCTTAATTTAAAAGCTTAAGCTGTTAGAGAGAGTCACGTGATAAAAAAAAAAATAGAGTCGTGTGTATATCATTTAAATCTTATCTTCAACACGCTCTCTTACGTGTAGGTGGCGTTCATTTTCTCCCATCAAACCCTAAGATGTGTACAATTACATTAAAATGTGTGCGCGGCGAAACCTGAACTACCCAGGACCTTTTACCATGTTGAACCATAGATTTAAAAGCTTAAGCAATTAAAGAGGGCCACATGCATATCATTTCCGTCCTACACTCCTACCTTCAACCAATTATAGACACCCCCAGAAAAGCAATCATCTTTTTGATGATCAAATTCCTCCCTAGTTGATTTATAAATTAAGCCCTTGTTTGATCCCCATTTTTTCCAAAATACATTTTTCTCTCTCTTCTTTTTAACCACACATTCATTAATAAAATAATATTACATGCCAACCTAAAACTTTTCCTTATTTTTAAATCACACATTCTTCACCAATCCACTATTCCAAAATGTATTCCACACCAAAAATGGGGCTCAAACAGACCCTAAATTACAGTCCATGTTTAGCTTCTTCTCTTTGAATCATTATGTTCTTATCAACAATTTATATTTTTCTCTCCACATTAATTATAACAACTCGTGAAGCAAATCATAAAACAACAATATACATCACCAGGGGCACGTTTTAAATGTACTAATTTACCTAATTAAACAGAATATGCGGCACTTACCCAAGCTGACAACAAGCAGAAGGCCACTGCAGCTAGCTGATATAGTTCGTTTGGCTAAAAGATTATGCAAACAAATTTCACAAGTCAGATTAAGTAACATATATAAGAATCGGGAATTCCAAGCTATTCGGAAACCAAAATGTATTAAGAACGCGTGTAGAGGGAAAGAACTTGTTCACTATCTATTTTCTCCACAATTTTAGCAGGTAAGATACCTGAATTCCGTTTTGGAACCAGTCCTACTTCATATCAATTATATCTTTTTTGGAAAAACAAATACTATACATCGTAAGCTGACATTCCTTAAACGGAAAAGAGATGTCCATGAAAATGATTTTATCCATTGCGAAATTAGATAATAACTTTTCTTCCTAGCATATACATAGCAAAACTAGGACCATAGGCCTTACATTTTGGTAGATTCTGGCTACAAGTTTAGGGGCATTGATTATGCAAATTCTATCTAGAATAAAAACGACTAGAAAATTATAGAAATCAGATGTCCGCAATCATGAATATGTTTTTGACTGCAGTGGTCTTGTGCATTTTAAACCACGATATATTTATCTGAAAATAAAGAAGTGTAACAGAAAAGTTAAAATGTTCAAAAACACCCACTTGTGAAGAAAGTTGTGTCATTAACTTCAAAAACCGAGGAACAAAAGACCAAATCAATACAGCTGCACCGGCAAGATATAAGGACAAGGTGAGCAGCCTGAGTCAATAACCAAAAACAGGTCAATAATATAACAACATTGATAAGAAAGTTAACAAGGTATGTATTACATGGGCTTACAATTTTCCCATGGAAACCATTCCTTGCAAAATGCCACTGTTACCACCCAGAATGGGGAGCAAAGCAAATAGCAAGCCAACGGCACAATCCTGGAAGGTTATTCAGACAGGGGAAAATAAAGAAAGAAAGAAAAAGAAAGAGGATCTCAGTCAAATGGATGTGCAAAGAAAAAAGAGATTGATATATTTAGCTAGCTAATTAACAAAGAGTGTTAAAGCTTACCTGAAAAATAAGGGTTCCAATTGTCACTTGCCCGTGAAGAGCATCACTATTGTTCCGCTCAACCAGAAACTTAACTACCTGTTGAAATAATATAGAGGGTTTTTTAAATTAGACAAAGATAATCAACAAGGAATTAGATAAGTAGTTTGGTTCACAGTCTTTGTGATTCACTAATAAATCGTTATGGGAAGGAAACTAGATTAGATATTTACCACTGCAGTTGATGACATTGAGAGAAAACAACCAACAAATATCCCTTCCGACAACTTTGCTCCACATAACTGTAGCAGTGGCACCATGTAAAATTAGCATTGAATACCATGAATTCAAGTGTCCTAGCAAAAAAAAAAAGGATATGCGAACTATACCACTGCAATTATGCCGCACAAGAACATAAAAATCACTATTTGAAGCAGCCCGCCAAGAACAGCAACAGGACCCACAACTTTGAGCTGCATCGGTCACATGTTAAGACATTCTAGACAAGCAAATATAAAAAATATATATATAGTCTGATAACCAAGACGAGAAACTTTAAAAAATTATAGATGATAGCAGAGAAAATGAGATACCTTTGATAGAGAAAACTCAAGTCCTAAAGCAAATAGAAGAAAGACAACACCAAACTGTGCAACGGTTTCAACCTGTGATATGAAGGGAGGGAGGAAATAAATAAAGAGAGAAATGAAAAGAAAATTTAATTAACATAATTTTTATGTTAACCCCATCAATATAAATTTAAGACAAAAAAGGTAAATTAGGACATGGACATCAAGTAGCAATAAGCCTTTAAATTAAGCAGAATAGCAGAAGAAGATAGAAAGACGCAAAAGCTCTGATAATATCGTAGGTAAAGAAATCTGAAATTATCAGAGCTTTAAGCAACGAAGAATAACCTAGAAGGATTAGACTATGAGCCTTGAGACAAGGCAAACCATGCCTAGTACACAAGAATGTACTATAAATTCAAACCCAATCTGGAAAAAAAAGGAAGGAAACATCCGAGTAGCAACAACGTATTAGTATCAGCTTTTTAGTATAAATCCACCTAATATTAGACATAGTAGAGACTGTAAAATTTTAGTTATCCAGAAAATTTATTTTGCTGAAGAGACAACCCCAAAAGTATTAGAAGGAAGATATTTTTAAAATTTATTAAATTTCACGTGTGACAACTGATTTGGAAGGTGCGTCCGAATTGTTCTGTTGCTCTTATTGAGCAGTAAAACATAAGCAGGAACTTAGAGCATTGATTTAGTTTTATTTCACATCCAAAGTAGCTACAAGAAGCAGTATCCTCCATTCTAAAATAAAAAATGATTCATAATCGGAAGGCCTTATCTTGGACCAGACAAGGCAACATACCTGCACCATTTCACTGATGAATTTCAAACCACCTGGTCCGATAATCGATCCCGCTAGAAGATAGCCAACAATGACCTGACAGATAATGAGTAGGGAACCATCATTTCCACAGTTCAGATTGTAAAACTCATGATTCTAAATGCAACCACAAAGGTAAGAATAAGGAGCCAACACAGATGACAAGATCATGAAACAAGCAGCAAAAGCACAAACCGGTTGTCCCAAACAGGAAGAGATAATTCCGCCAATGGCAGCAGAGACTATAACAACCACCAAGTCTGAAATTAGCCTACACAATACAACGTAATGTCAAGTTGAAAAATAACAATATCAAAACCATATTCAACATAAACCCCTACATCATCAGCTTTTGCCTTATTGTCTGAAAGACATGCAAGATCCTACAACCCACACAAGTCAGTATAAGACATAACATAACAAGAATAACCTTAAATCTACTTGAAGTATTGGGTATTTTGATTTCTTATTCGACATCACAAAAACGTTATCCTGCATTTAAGAAAACTTTGTCAGGAGGTGGTGAGTGTAGATGGAGCAAAGACAAAATATCTGGGCCATGGTTTCCAAAATCAAAACTAGGTATGAATCACCTTCTGGTCTATCAGAGTTGTCGTGTCATCAGAATCTTCGTTCTCAAGGGAGAAAACATCTTGAAACTGGAAGGATCTGGTGCCGCTGTCAAAAAGGAAAAACAGCAAACTTCAGTCAATTCCCTCAATATTTTCATTTTTTTTATATGGAGAAAGTCATGAACAATCCCTCACTTGGCCTCTTGAGTTTCATTCTTCTTTATCTTTTCATGGGTGATTTTAGCCACAGTCTCTAGAACAGCCTGTCAAGCATGATAAAATCTTATTTTAGCACAAAATACAAACTAGATGAATCTTTCTAATTTTAAAATCACACTAAGAAATTAAACTACTCCAAAATCAATTTAACTATACACCATCGCATTCAATCATCCAATCGAGAAAAGGATTGTTGAGAAGTCATCAACTTTCTATTACTAGATTTAAATAAAATTACTCAGTACCTAAAAATACAAAATAACAGACAGAGCCAGGTTTCTTAGAAGAAAGAAGACAGAGTAAAGACCATGTAATTGTAAAGTCAAAATAATTTACCTAAACAAGCAGATGCAATACAAACTAATTTACCAACATAGACAGATGCAATGCATACATTAAAAGCATGACACGGATAGAGAGAAAATTTTATTTCACATTACAAGTACCCACTTTTATAATGAAATCAGATAACAGAAAACCTTCTATCTTCAAATATGTTCCAAGTGAAACCTTCAGTAAACACCATTTCAATAAACAGTATGCTTTAGTACTTGATATTTCAAGAAAACTAGTAGTAAAATGATATTTCACTGCGCATGCTTTGGAAAACTTAAATGCTGCTTTAAAAGAAACGTCAAATTTACCTGTTGATCAGCTACGCTGCTGTTGAAGCTGCTTCCATCAGAACCTTTGAATATACAAGAAGAAAGTGATCCAGTGTTAACCAGACTCAACAAGATGGAAGACACTTGTGACAACAAAGATGTCATCAATATTGCTCATAATCTACTACAACATGATGTTACCAAAAATGTGGAGTTGGATTATAAATTCAATACGGAGAAATTATCAACGTTAGTTATACTTATATGTATGCCAGTTGTTCCTACAGATAGACAATGAGTTAATATTCTCACAAAAGGCCTTCCTAGAAAATCGTTTGAAAATCTTAAAATTTAGGAATGAGAGACATATTTGTAACGTATTAAGTATTAAAAAATGTATAAGATTTGAATTTTTAATTCTTATATCTCTGGTAGATAATTCGGAGCAAATTCTGGTATTTTCCTCTTAGGAAGGAAATCTGTTTCTTGATTTGTCTTAATCTGTTTATAATTTCTCTCCACTTACATCATTTTTCTACTCTGTCTTTGTATAAAAGCAATGTAATTTAGTGTATAGGATGAAATTTACAAAAAAATTCCTATAGAATTTTGTTGAACACTAATGAAGAACCATGCAAAAGTCTCTTGTCAAGAGTTCAAGCTCTATCTGTAACGACCTGGGTCCCATTTAACGGACTGTCTCGGTCGTTAGATCGACGACATACTGTCCCCACTGTACTAACATGGGTCTATTCAGCATATTTTATCCTCACTCGCACGTTCCCAAAAAAAAACTTCACAGTGGGTCACCCATCATAGAATTGCTCCAAATCAAGCACGTTTAACTGTAGAGTTTCTAACGATGGACTTCCGGAAAAGAAGGTGCAGTTTGTTGGTATGAATAGTATCTATCAAATTTTTTAAGTTTTCCTGATCTAGGTATTACACTATCAGACATTTTACCCAGGATAGGTCTGCATAGCTTACCAGGGGTTCGATTTGTAGGGTGGTCATGCAGCAATTCAGCTATCTATAAAAGAGTGTCCAAACTATGATTCTGTGGAAGTGTCTCTCTCTTAAAGTACCCGTTAAATCAAGATTTTTAATCGTAGAAAGCAGAGAAGAAAAGTACTTTCCAGAAATGAAATAGATGAAAAAGGATACAACCATGATGCAGATAGTGACAAATCAAGGATAAGTATTATTAAGAAGCACTGTAATCAGAAAAAGCACCCAATGATTATGGCTCGTGCAAGGCATTCATTAGACCCTCAAAGCTTAAGCTTAAATGCCCTTTGTTCAGGGTTGCGTCTTGACTTACTCTATAGTATGCCTCCAGGCAAAAGCCTTAGGGTGTTGAGAACTGCGCTCCTTAGTAATGTCCTTTTACTGTACAGCACTGTACAAATCAATCCAAAACCCCTTCGAATCATTCTAATGAGTCCCATGTCCTAGGAATCATGCATTGGAGGTGAAAAATTATGACACTGTGTCGTTGTCGTATAATACCAGTCTTTATAACTGTGCCTCTTAAATAATTAATCCAAAATTTTTTATGGCAGTTGTTTGCAGATTAATTTTAAAGATATGCTGCTTTAAAGTTTGTTAATTGTTCTTAAAAAAATAAAAAATTCTACAGAACTTCATGAAAGCTGTTGTTTCAATATCTTATTACTCTAAACTGGGCAAGCCTAGACATATTTTTATGTTGTTTTGTAATAGTTTTTACAATTCCGAGGTTTCCGATGATAGCTACGATTTCTATATTTATGGGAAACAACATCTCCTCTCTTCCCCGCCAATCAAAAGTCCTAATCAGGATTAAGCATCTATCACTAGTTATCAAACCGTTAAAGTGCCGTAAACAAATACTGTCTGTAATCTTAAACCAAGCGCTTCAGGTATTAAGATTAGAAATTAGCCTATCAAAGTTCAATTCAACAAACAAGTCAAATTTTAGAAAGATCAAACAAAAATCAGGAAAATAATGTAGAAAAATCTTACCTTCAGGCTGATCATTTTCAGAAAACTCTTTCTCCAAAACCCGATCAAACATCTTCGCAATACTGCCCTCTCCATTTCCTGGAGCCGATGAATTAATTAAATTTCCATAAAACCTTTCCCTAATTTCCTGCTCCGATCTAGCAGAGCGACCAATTTCCGCGCATGAAATAATTACAAATACAAATACAAAAACTCCACACTCCTTTGTTACCCACCCCATTGCTCAGGAAAAATCAAATTGTGGGGGAAAAAAAAACCAAGCACTTCTTTCAAAAATTTCCAGTAATTATCGCGTCGGTGGGGGGTGGGGTGGGTATCGTAGATCGAAAGCAAAGGGAGTCTTTGTGAGTTGGTTGAAATTCATTATTTTATTGGAGTCCGTAACTGCCTAGAAATGAATATTTGATTTCGTGGGTCCATTTGAGACAGAAGACCAATGAAAAGAAGACACGTAGTAAAACTTTGAGCGTAAGAAAATGAAAATGAAAATTCAGAAATGGCAAAAAAAAAGGGGTTAAATCCATCAATGACTACTCAATTTTATATGTAGTGTGAATATAGTCACTCAATTTAATTTTGTTTCAACATTACGACCCAACTATATACTTAGTGTCATCATTGCTACCAAATTTGATTTTATTTCACCATGATCACCCAAATAAGTTTTAAGGAACGTTTTTTTCAAATAAGTTTCTATTTTATTTTTCTAAATAAATTTTTATTTTATTTTATTTTTCTAAGTAACTTTTTTTTAAATAAGTTTTATTTTATTTAAGTAACATTTTTTTAAAAATAATTTTTTATTTTATTTTTTTATATTTTTAAGGACCCATTTGATTCTCATTATTGTAGAATGAGAATTAAAAATATAGCCATTATTTGGTCCCACGCAAGAGATAGAAATTCAAAATTGATGACTTGATATATTGGATAACGATCATATTTTTTATTTTTATAGATAAAAAATAAGAAACAAACGGAGGCTAAGTAAAGTTTTTTAAAATAAGTTTTTGTTTTAATTTTTTAAAAAATTTATTTTATATATAATGTAAAGTTACAATTTTACCCCTTTTAAGAGTGTGTTTGTCTCTTATTATTGTAAAAGAAATAGAGTAATGAATAATATTTTTTGGAGAATGTGTGGTTGAAATTTAAAGTAACATTATTTGTTTGTGTGTAGAATATTTTATTGGGTGAATGTGTGGTGGAGAATTTTACTATAGCAAACAATGTTTTGGAATAATGGTAGACAAACATGAGCTAAAATTAGTGAAAATTGTGAAAATAAATTGAATGGTCATGGTGAAATGCTATATGAAATTAGGTGATCATATTAAAACATTATATAAAACTGGATGGTCATTAAGGAATAAAATCAAATTGGGTGATCATGATTAGAGTAATGCTACGGTACACAAGCATCTACATAAGGGTTGACATAATTACACGTGGCATATAATCCAACCTTTAATTCAAATTTCACACTTACACATCAATAACTGGATGAATGACGCATCATCATTATGTGCACCATTATGTGCATCATTATGTACCTCTAACATTACTCTCATGATTATACTAAGTATAAAGTTGGGTGATCGTGATGAAATAAAATTAAATTGAGTTGTCATAGTGACATCTGTTTGTTTATGATTAAAATCAGATTTTAATCTAAATTAAAGTTAAACAATCAATATTAATCATATCTTTCATGGTCTCGTAGTTTTTCAATCACACATTTCAAAAATTTCTATCACAATTTACAGATAATTTAATCTTAATCCCCACCAAACATCCACGAAATTGAGTGACGTGGATTTAACCCAAAATAAAAGAGAATTAATTGAAGGCCAGATAAAAGGAAAAATGGCATCCACTCGATTTGTAAGGGAGCGTGGTCGCCACAAGTTCACCGGCTTCACTCAATTTTTATAAGATAATAATCACTGCTCCTCCATAGCCAACGGGAGTACAATCAGTTTATGCATTGAATTTCCACCAGACATTGATTTATCAAATTTTGTCAAAATTTGGTAGTTTCAATTGTTTCAATGGCATCCCTGACTAGCACGATTCAATCTGGATTATTCTCGTACGGCAGACCCACGCCAACAGTTGCGGCAAGGCCACGGCGGATGGTGGTGGTGAAAGCCGCGGAGGCAATCAACCCAGATATCAGGAAAACTGAAGATAAAGTGGTGGATTCAGTCGTTGTCACTGAACTCGCCAAACCCCTCACTGCCTACTGCAGGTTTTCTTAACCTTTTCAATTTTTACTGCAATGGGTTGGTTCGAATTGCCAACAGAATATATCAAATGGTTAATTTATTGATTATATGTCTTGTAGACTTGGTTTGAGAGTGTCTTTTCTTCAAAGATGTTAATATTTTCAACATAGCCCTAATCTTAGAGAATTTTCTATTACCCAAGCTTGTATCAAGGCATTTTAATCATGGATGAGCTTTCTAGAGACGTATATATGTGAGAAGTCCAACAATGCACGTTGTTCAATGAGGACATATGTTAGTTGATTGAGATTATAAACGGCATAAATCAAGTTAGAACTAAGAATTTCGGAATTTAATGTTTTAGGTTAACAATGGAAGTAAAGGTAGTAGTAGAGTCATTGTACATAAGATTGTATTCTCTCAAGTAGCAATATTTTAGGTATGTAGGTATGATTATTAATGCGGAGACTTTAAGGGGATGTATTGTATAAGATTAGAGCATGATGGATTTGTCAAAAAGTGGACATGGCACCGATTCAAAATAAATTAAGGGAATGCCAACTTAGGTAGATGGGGCATGACTTGTCCAGACTCAAAGAAGTCATCGTCCACGAAAGCAATGAAATTGGAAATACTTGTAGAGATGTTAGACGAGGGAGAGGTAACCAAAATTAAAGTGATTCGATGCGGATGTAAATAATTTGATTTAAGTAGTTCTTTTGATAGATATGATGCTGGATCGAACAATGTGGAACATGGTTAATGGAAAGTTTTTTGGTGAGCTTTTAACCCCAATAAACATAATAGATGCCCTCATTTTCTGATTATAGATATGTAATAATAGAATAGAGATGTAATAGCTGCAAGTTCTGTTAATCCAAGAATTTGTATTAATATCAATTTCATCCATGGAGGTTTCAGAAGTTCAGAAGTAATTCTGTTGAAAAATCATTTTCCATGGGCCACAAAACTCTATTGAAAGATGTTAGATTAAGATGTTGATTCATGTTCATCAAAAATGCTAATTTTGTAATTGATAGCGCAATAGAATCTTAGTCTTTTCCATGAAGTAATAAGAGTAAATTCTTCATGATGGAACAGAACATATATAAAATGTCCTTGCAATTGACTGTGTTTCTAACTTTTTATTGGGCTTCATTTATTTGCATTCATTGATAATATCTTGGTGGTGTTGTTTTTTCAAGTTGAATTTCGACGTCTAATGCCTCATCTGATTGCTATTGTGGGTGCAGGTGTTGGAGGTCTGGGACTTTTCCTTTATGTGATGGAAGCCATGTGAAGCATAATAAGGCTACGGGAGATAATGTTGGACCTCTGCTCCTCAAGAAGCAGTAAAAAGCTTGCGCATCATTTGTGTGATGAAGAGATTTTTGAATCGTAAAAATATGACTATTATATTCTCTATTGTGCGAATAAATTAAGCGTTCTGAGGTGTTCTTTAGCTGTGACTTTTGAGTCAGCAATAATTTCGTATGCCCCTATTACTGTAAAACTTAGATACTCCATTTACTAGAATGTATGAAGTTCAGAGTAACTTTTGTTGATTTTTGTTGCAGTTTCCCGATTTGACCTGTTCAGAATATATTGAACCTCCTGGTCGAGGTTCGACTCTCTGTGATCAGATTAAAATGCTACTTAATTTGTTTGCAGATTAAATCCGAAAGTGATATGAACAGTGAAGTGTGGTTTCTAGGTTTTACTGTCTTCTATAAAGAAATTTCTCCGTGCATCGTTGAGTTACAGTTGCAATATTAAAGACTTTACAAGCAACCTTGTACAAGTTGTATTGTTAGATTCCTTGCGTGCTTAATAAACTATTGCTATGAGTTTCTTGGTATATCATACATACTGTATCATTGTTGATGCATCACTTTCAGTCATTTTTCTACTCCATTTTTTTTCTCTACACCCCATATTTTAAAATTTTTATTGTCCCTCTCAATTAACAGATACTTGATGCTGTATTATTCCAGATTTGTCCTGCTCCTTTGTCTTATTTTAATGGATAGAAATATTGAAATTGCAGTAACAAAAATATGAAAGGAGCCCTTGAAAAAGTTTTCCATGTGTCGTTAACAAAATTACGTTTTGTTCTCGGTAAATTAGATATAGATTTAGAGGTTCGCCGTTAAATCTTTTCTCACCATTCTGTTTGAATATCCGTCACATTTAATGAAAGATTCTAAGCAACTAGATAAGTAATGTGTTGTGTGAGTGTTATATATTTCTTTTAAGTTTTAATATGTTGTAACGAGATTGTGGATACATAAATGAAAATTAATAACTTTTGGTTTACGAAAAACTTGTCATTGGCAATTTCCTTTATGTATCATCCACCTTGACGTATATTGAAGTGACAATTTTATCAATAATTTTGCTAAGTGTACACCGAGGTGTGAAACTCAATGTAAAAAGAGCAACGGTCTTGCTACTTGTACATCACATTATATATCGGGGTGTACACCCCCTTCACATGAGGGTAGGACCCGCTTAGATTAAAAAATAATTTATGCAATGGGTCCCACACATCCATGTGAGAGGGGTGTAGCCCCTTATGAACAATTTGTGATGTACAAGTAGCATTTTTTATTTTTTTTACCAACTAGAAACCAGTATAGGCGGCATGTATTTAGTATAAAATTTTGAACATAGAACAAAAAAACTTACCCCGTATGTAGAATGAAAATTTCCATAATTACATATATAGGGTGTGTGTGGCATTGATTTTATCCAAATTAGTAGCACATTTTTTACACTTTTTCATTTGCTGGCCCCCACACCTCTCAAATGTGGTCAACTGTTGCGACTGTAGGTGCGTGCAACGGTTGAGATTTCAATTAAAATCTGTCAATTAATTGCCTCTAGACATAGCCATAGTCATGTTCCTTGTCATTATATGTCGAGTAAAGTTTCTCTTCAGTTCCTGAAGCTTTTCAAACTCGCTACTTGAAGGCTATTCTACAAATTTATGACTCAATCCTAAATTCAAAATGTTCATAGCTTCCTCACAATATTC